AGGAAAATTGAATTTGAGGGATGTTTCTGGAGATGTCACTAAACATGAATTTGTGTGTGTCTAAATCTCCCTTCCTGGATCCTGGGTCCTGGGTGCTGTTCTGAACTGCAAAATTTGTAAACTGTCAGACCCTCATGACCTGCAAGTCAATCCTGCAGAAAATCTTACACAGCTTCATAATGTAATACATAGGAAGATGTTCGTTGATGGCACCCTTATTTGTGGTGGGAGGGCGTTGGACCTAATCTGGGAGTCATCCCTGGGTGAGGACACACACTGCAGACCTCTGTGCAATAATTAAAAATAATAGTTCTAGATGGGGTCTAGAGGTACGCACAGCAACACAGATTAAAAAACTGTGGCACGAAAAAAAAAAAACACTGTGGCACGAAAGGGACAAAGTAAAAATAGAATGAGATATATGACACAGTGTCATTTATGTAAATTAAAAACGCATGTACCGAAACCAAAAATACATGTTCTACAAAAACATATAGCAAGAAAGAAAAGGATGATCTTTCCAGTGATTTCTTATGGGGGTGGGAGACGAAAAATGAAATTGAAAGGCAATTAAAAAGGAATCCATAAATAAATAAAACAAAAGAAGGGCCCTGTGGACATCAGTGATAAATAATTGAGGAGTAACATTCATTCGACTCCTTGAATGTGAAGGAGAGAGAGGGACAGACAACTAGAGACAGTAAAAGGAGATGAGATTACAATGACTAGATCTTAAATTGTGTTCTGGGTAGAGTGCTTTCATTATTTTTTTTAATATTTTAATTTTTTTATTTCGGATAATTTATTAAAAAAAAAAAAGGATGAATCCACGAGGTGAACATGGAAGAATGTGATACATATATAATGGCTGAATAGTTTAAAAAGCGAACTGTCAGGAGTGGGATTCGAACCCACGCCTCCAGGGGAGACTGCGACCTGAACGCAGCGCCTTAGACCGCTCGGCCATCCTGACACGCTGTTCACGTACCCCGCTCGGATTTCATTTCTGTGTCTACCTCAACGCTAGTCAATTTTTTTTTTTTTTTTTTTTTTTCCTGAGGATGTGGAAATTCTTCGGTTGAAAAGCGAAACCACAAGTTTGCGAACGGCCCCGGACGCCGACCCTGGGTGGAAGCGCAGGATAAGTGCCGGGTTGCCGGGGCCGCCGGGGGGCGTCTTCTGCATGAAAGCGGATTCGATTCCAGGCTGCCGCGGGCGGTTGTTTATTTTTTTTTTTTTTTTTTTTTTTTTCCTGAGGATGTGGAAATTCTTCGGTTGAAAAGCGAAACCACAAGTTTGCGAACGGCCCCGGACGCCGACCCTGGGTGGAAGCGCAGGATAAGTGCCGGGTTGCCGGGGCCGCCGGGGGGCGTCTTCTGCATGAAAGCGGATTCGATTCCAGGCTGCCGCGGGCGTGGCGGCGCGGGCCAGGGTACCCAAGAGTAAGGGAACTTTTTCTCCATTCTCGACAGAATTCTTGTTCCAATAATGGCACCCACGTTGCTGAAGTTGCCTTACTTAAATTGACACCTGCTCCCAGAAGGTTTTAGGCTATTTATTCAGTTTGGTGCTCGCCGAGGCCCAGCCCTCTCGGGCGCTCGCTCTTTCCTCCCTCCTGTCCTTTCTGTTTTAAATCTCCCCGCTGGGGTTACCCTGGGGATCGGTGTAAGGGTGTCCAGGTGTCTTGCTTCTTGTTCCGAGTTATCTAGCTGTACACTGAGGATTTGTGGACTTTTCTGTATGGATGTTATGCTGTTCTTAGAAGGAGACCTCAAACTGAGACCAGTTCTGCCTTTCACTTTCTGCAAGTGTATCGCTTTATCTTCCATTAATTCTTATGGCTTTCCTAAATCTCTGTTTATGTCCAGCAAAGCTACCAGATCTGTACCACAAAGAGTTTCTAATTGGTATGGAACACTCCTCAAAGAGAATTTAGTTTAGGTCCTTAGAACTAAAGCATGGAGATATAGTTTTTTTTTTTTTTTTTAAGGAGAGGATAAACCCAAATTTTGACATCGGTTATATTTGAGTGATGAGATTTTGATAATTTTTATTTTTTTAAATGAACTTCCATATGTATTCAAGGAAAAACGCTATTTCCATTTTAAATTTTAAAATGAGAGTAAATGTGCATGTAGTTGGGAGTGGACTCAGAGGTTTTGAGAAGGAGTTTTGAGGAGACCTGAGTGGGTCTGGAGGCAGAAGGGACAGATAGATAAATTGGGATATGCAGAGAGATGGCGCGGAAGAGTTGTTGTTGATAAGGGATGATAGAAGTTGTACAGTTATTTTTCTCTTAATTTGAATGTCTGAGCTCAACTATCTCACAGAATCTCTGTTAAAGAGAGGCAGGCCCTTTCAAACATGTGATGACCAGAGTTGGCATTTGGTGTGTGAAATGAAGTCTGTCACTATCATTTCAGTAGCATTTGTGTTTTGGGGCTGATCTTTAGCTGTGGGGTGAGAGGTTTTTCTTTCTGGTTAAAAAAGAAAATCAGGCCTTGGAAATACTACAATTATTTGCAGTGGTGGAAGAGACGCCTTTTTGGTGCTTCTAAAATCACAGTATCACCGATTCTGCTTCAGGTGATTAAGACGGGCTTTGGCAAAGCATCAGCAAGGCCACCCTTCTTCTCTTTTGGAAGGTTTGAAAATAAAGCCAGAAAGACCAAGACTGTTCATTTCTTCCAGGCACTGGTAGCTGGTGCCAGCTGGAAAGAAAGCCTCAGGGCTCATCAGATAAATTCTCCCTCAGGGTGCCTCATGTGAAGAGGCTAAACCTGGGAGGGGGGTGGACACAGATGTTTCCTAAGAATCTGCTACCAGCTCAGTACTGTGTTTGGTAACCATTTTCCTTGAAGATCATGAGGAAATAGGAAGGGGAGGGAAGTCGCAGAATTAATTAAAACCTATGACGAGTTCTCTTTCTACTCTCAGAGAGGGGTTCCTGTGGCAGTCCTATCTATTCGGAGTGAGATTTTACATATACATTTCAGGATACACATTGTACATTAAACTAGCAAAACAACTGCTTGAGGTTCTCAAGTATTTTTAAAGAACTTCGGACTTTGTTTCTTTGTTTTTTGAACTTTTTTACTTTCTAAAAGTACAATTTGAACACAAATGAATACTTTTTTCTTTTCCGGTGTGTGGGCCTCTCACTGTTGTGGCTTTTCCCGTTAGTAGAGCACAGGCTCAGATGCGCAGGATCAGCGGCCATGGCTCAGGGGCCCAGCTACTCCACAGCATGTGGGATCATTCCGGAATGGGGCACGAACCTGTATTCCCTGTATTGGTAGGTGGACACTCAACCAGTGTGCCACCAGGGAAACCTGTAAACTTCCTGACTTGGATTAAGGTCAGACCCTCTGTGAGGGGGACTATTCCTGATCCTTGCTTGGGGCCAATAGGGAAAAGTGGGCATCTCACTGAACTATCAGGGCCTTCAGAGTAGGAATCCAAAGGGCCTTTCCTCTGGAACAGTAGTTTAAAGATCATCCAAGTTGGTTTGTTTTTCCAATTATGAGGCATCACCACTAAAATTTCCCAAACATTTCCTCCAGAGGCTAAGGGCGGGTAGCCATTGGCACTGTGGCCTTATTGTAAGTAGCTGGACCGTCCTGGGACAGTAGCCCCTTCCCTGGTGAGCCCACTGCCATCAGGTCTGGGAATGGGTCTTGGATAAACAGAACTACACTGCTTTGGCTCACTGCATTCCCACGCAGGTTTCTTTCCTCTGTTTTTGTTTCAGTTCCACTTGTTGGGATAAAGAAAGGAAGGTGCAGATGCTGTTTTCAGCAGTCAGACAGACTTATTTATTAGGTTAAGACCATGGGCGACATCTGTCCTGGAACCTGGAAAACCCAGTTGGAAATGGAAGGTTGGAGCCTGAGTAAATATGCAGTCTATTGGGAAGACAAGACATACGTATACAGGAAAATGCAAATACAGACAACTGTGATTAATCCAGCTGTGCTGAGCACAATGATGCAGCCTTCAGGGAACCCTGAGGAGAAGCAGCGTGTAGGAAAGCTGGGTGGGGAGAGAGCGATTGGTGGTGCAGTGTGGAAGTGGGTGGTGGTCGAAGCTAATTAAAGGTATGGTGGAGGGTTTAAACCAAATGTTGGGTTGAGGCTGAGACAATGGCTGATAAAGTGGTGATCTTCCTGAACGATGATGCCTGGAAATGCCTCTGAAATGGAGAGATTCTAGATCAAAAAGAAGAAGAGAACCTGAGACTTGTGGAGTCAACAAAGTGAGGTTGAGATGAGCCCCAGGCAAGGGAGAAACACGGGTGCAGAGAGGGGAACAGGGCCGAGGCATGGCTGTGAACACAACCTTTGAATTTTATCTAAAATTCTCTCCTCTATCAAGCGTTCTGTCTGATCCCTTAGCCCTGCTCATTTCATCTCTTCTTTACTCTCCTTGCCAATTGCTCAGATCCACCCCAGGGGATATGACTTAAAAAATTTGACATATAGGCCCTAAAACTCTAGGGGCAGGCCAGATGTCCATCAATGGCCTGGGTTCACCTCACTTTCTTCTATCATGACTTCCCCCCCAAGTTCCTTTATGGGATTTCAGCCTCAGATCTTCCCTTCCCAGGATCCTTTAGGTTTTCTGCTTGCCTAAAACCTGTTCCTGTACATATTCCTATTCTGGACACCAAGATGTTTCTGTCACAACCCTAGGCCAGCCTAAGCCCATCTTGATCCCTGAGCTTCAAGTGCCTTCCTACAGGCTTTGGCCTCAAGGGCCAGGAGAACGCGAGAAGCAGTTTGAGTCCCCTCTCCGCCCCCTGAATATTGAAACAGAAACGGAAACAGATTAGGAAGGTCCTACACCCCACACTCTATCAGCAGCAACACAACCTTCTCAAGATTAATTAATCCCTACCCAACAGGAAGAAACAGGGGCTGGGTGCAGCTGGCAGATGAAGCCCCAGGGGGTGATAGAGAAGGGGGTAAGGGCGAAGGGAAACAGTTGAGCTGGGGTATTCCTTAAGGTACCCGTTGGCTGGGCTGGGGAGGGATCAGTTTAGAATGGAGGGTGTCTGTATCCCCAGAGGCAGAGTCCTGCCCTATGGGCGAGAGTGGGATGTCCTTAGAAAGGTCCTTGGGATCAGCAACTACTGTGACTCCCTCAAGCCCATCAGTGATTGGGCAGATGGTCAGGGGCTTTTTACCACAGGACCACAGGCAGAAGAAGGGCCGGAGGGGGCCTGAGAAAGAGGCATTAGAGAAAGTATAGATATGGGATCCATCAGTCATGTTGTAGAAGCAGATGTCTCCTGACTCACAGTCCAGGAAGATCCCAACTCGGCGGGGGGATCCCGCCAATGGGAGAGGGGTCCGCAGGGGGGTGAGAGCCCAGTACCCGTTTCCATACAGCTCCACAGCCCAGAACCCATTCTCGGGAGTCATGGGGTCAAATCCTTTCTTCACCACGTTCTCCCTACACACCCCGATTGCCCAGTCAGTCCTGTCTCCCACCTCTACCTCCCAGTAATGTCTCCCCGAGGTGAAGGCCTCACGACCCAACACACAAGGCCAGGAGTCAAATCTCTCTGGTTTCTCAGGCAGTTTCTGACGTGAATCTTCCAGTCGGACAGATTTTGAATCCTCATACAGAAAGAGGTGGGGGTGGGCGGTATCTGGATCCAGAGTCACATCAACTAGAGACAGAGAGAAAGTGAGTCTGAACGTCAGTGAATGTTAAAGGTTGAAAGAACTACCCTTTCTTCTCCAAAGAAGTGGGACACTTCTCTAGCAGTTGACAGGTCTCCTCCGGAAGAGAGCTGCCTGGCCTGCTCAGCAGTCTCTAGTCCCTTCTTCCATCCACAGCCATAGGGTGATGTATGAACTGACTGTCCCCAGTGCCCCATGGGACCCTGTCAAAGGGGACTTGTCTTCTAGCCATCTTCCAAGGACCCTCTGTGTGCCTCAAGGAAAATGTTGAGGCCATTTACCATCGTCTATCCCCTCTATATCCTCATCACTAAAATATGTTAGTGGTTTTTATTTCCAAGTACTGTAGGACTTTGAATCCCTGCAAGGTAGATCCTCGGAGCCCTTGAGATATTTAGAGTCACTGACCTGCATGCAATGTAGCCTTTTTCCATTCTGCAAGGGGGGAGGGGGGAAAGAGTGTTATTGACATGTTGTATAATAAGAGAGAGAAAACCTTGTGGATGAAATATTTAGAAGAAGATAGAACTTACTGAGCTCTTCCAGGAGTTTCTCTGGAAAACAAACAGAAATACCTTAGTGACCTTCTAGAGTGGGCATGAGGGAGGGGACAAAACAGGTGTAAGAAACACACAAAGGAGTAACTGTTTACTTCATGACTACCTGATTGTTGAAGCATTATCAATAAATGAAGAACAGGGATTATGTTTCGTTTTCTAAGAAATATGCAGGAAGTTCCTACTGGCTTGGGATCAGATCTTTAGTCATTACTGGGAAACCAAGTTAAAAGTAAGGATAGAGTCTGAAGGTGAGTAGTGAATAAACATCAGGTCTATTCTCTCAGTTAGAACTGGTTTTCACTTGTCTTGTACCCCAAACCTCTGTTATTCTTCATTTTGGGTGCCACTGACTTCAGGAGCCTTATAATCCCCTCTGACTTTCAGAATTCTAGAATCAATTATCTTCCAGTCATCCTAAAGGACTTGGATCCAACCCCACTTGGAAGCACTCCCAAAAAGAAGACTGGGATTCTATGACTTACCTTTAGAGCTGAATTCATGCCTCTTCTGTCTGGATCTTTCCTTGTATAGTCTCCAAGTGAAAAATATGGACCCAATTGTGAGAAGTCCTAGCACCATCAAGACCACAGCCACAGCCACCATCCAGGGAGTCAGCCTTGGGAAGAAGGGAGCTAAAACAAAGTCCCCAAGAAGGACATTTGTTGAGAAGCTCAGAGCAAGTCCAGCTCCTCTCCTGATTCCAAAAGGGGGTGGAAGAGAGAATGACCTGGACCTCTCACATTCCTCCCATGGCAAAATAGTCCCTCCAATGCCACTCTGAGCTTTTCAGATAAATTTTCATCTTAGGTAACAGAGAGCAGAGAAAGAGAGGAATGATGATGAAGAAGAGTCATTTGGGGACAGGACCTGTGAGATAAAGAATATAATGGACCAATTCCTGTCTTCACGGAAATTTCTCCTTAGCTATCAATGCAGGATGGGAGCCAAGGGGTTGAGGGAAGTAAATAAGGAAGGGGAAATATCACATCTGAGTGCAACAGAATGGGACTCAATGACCAAAGAATAAGGAAAAGTTCCTGCCTGAACCAGAGATAGTGTGTAGTGAATAATGAGAAGATTTGCTTCCCTGAGGACCCTGGAAACTTAGACAGAGCTCTAGCATGGAATGCAGAGGAAGGCGAGGCAAGGGTGGAAACAGGAGGACTAATTTGGTTCGATCCAGAAGACCCCCCCCCAGAGACAAAGCTTCTCTACCAAGATATATCTCCCAAGATAGAAAATCCGGAATTTGTATGAGATCTAGGTAAAATTTATGCCTTCAGAATCTCTACTCTTCTAGTGAGGCTGGTGGGGCTTGGTGGGCAAGAGTTTAGGTGGGGGAAAGCTTAAGGTGATGAAAATAGACAAGTCTGCCATGAGGTTACAGCTGGGCATGTGTCCCATGTGATGTGGCCCTGAAGCTGTGTCAAAAAGGAACCTAGCACTGATTTCACTGACCTGGTATAGAAATCTCTACTTCCTTCTCTTGGCCGAGAAGGAGGTTCCGGATACAGCAGGACACACTCTTCATGGAGGTATCCCTGATGATCACTGAAGCCACCACGGTGAACAGACCTTCTTCATCAGGGTTCCTGGACTCTGACACGGATGCAAACTCCTCTCCCTTGGGAGTTCGCCACTGTACCTGGGGCTCTGGGTACCATCCCACTGAGGTACACTCCAGCCAGATCTCTCCACTCTCTTGAACTTCCATGTCGATGTGAGGATCAGAGCCCAGAGCTGTGGAGAAAGGAGGCAACTTACTCCTTTAGCGGACATCCTTCTGGGAGGCTTATAACCACAGGTCTACATAGTTTGAGAAAGAGAAACCCAAGGGAACTGGGGATGAGAGGGACTCATCTCCATATTTTATTACACAAGGAAACAGAGGTATCAATAAAAGAATACATCTTATCAGAGAGGGGTGCTGTGTTGGGATTTAGTGTTGGAATTGTGGGCAGGAGTTTGATGGACAGACAGGGGTCCGGTCAGCGGGAACAGCAAGCCCAATGGCTTAGGGGTGGGTTAGTGAGTCTAGGCTGGGAGTTCCAGAGATGGGAGAGAGCTCTGTGGTTGGAAGTATCATGAGAAGGCTTTGGGTAGGAAAAAGGCTAGGATTGAGAATGTAAGGATAAACAGAGAAGGAGTATCCTTGAGGAGAAGGGGGATTGGAGGTTCTTTGCACTGAGATTGTAGTTGACAATTTAAGTTTCACTTACCTGTGATACTGATTCAGGAATTTTCTCGAATGATTTCAACCTCATCTACCCCCACCCCCCAATTAAACTGGCATAAATCAACATGAAGCTGTTTTTTCTTTCTGTTCAGCCTAATTATTTTCTTACAATTCCACAAAGTACAGAAAAACAGCAAGCTTCAGAGAAGAGTTCTTAAACACATATCCACAACTATTGATTTAAATCCATATACCAAGTTGTGCGTGTACGTGAAAATGTGTATTCTTTTCATGAAGGGGGCCACCACCCTCAGCAGATTCTCAAAGGTGTCTATCACTCAGAAAAGGTAACAATGACAGCTTTATGCTATCAAATCTCTAGGGCTTTATAACCAAACTTTAAGGTAATTCCCTACAAAGGAAATATGAATTATATATGATGCTGCCACATGGGGCACTCTGTTATGAGGCAGGGACCCAGATTTCACCCAGGTACTTTTCATACTTTATCTTTATTTGACTACATACATGAAAAGCAATAGAGTTGTATATCATACATTGTAGGGCAGTCCGAGGCACAGTAATAATATCTTACAAGTACATAATGCTTTTAGAATTGACAAAGTAGTTTCTCATATATTGTCTCATTTTATTTCATTTCTGCAAAACCTTCCTTGAGAGGTGGTGCTTTCCCAGTTTTACAGTAGGAAATATAGCTCAGAAAGAGATTTGTTTGATGCCAAGTGGGAAAGACCTCAATGTATATTTTCCTCCTGAGTGTTTACCATTTTCCTTGTTGTTTTACTCTGAAATTTGGCTTGAAAGGAAAAAGGAAACAAAAACAAAAACTTTTGTAGGTAGATCAAGACCCTTAACAAGCAGCCACCCTCCATGATTTTAGGAAATTGGCCTTTGGGTACTAATCCATAAAGCGGTGTCAAAGTATGCATTGGGGTTTCTCACCACAGCCTTAATGTAATGGTGAAAAATAGACACAGCTGAAATGGTTAATTCTGGGCTTTGATCAAGCAAATTATGGTCTGTTAATAGAAGAGAATGTTATACAGTCATTACATCTTACACTTATTTAATTAATAACATGGGGAAATGCTTATGCTATAATTGAGAGAGAAAGGCAGGACATCATTGAAATAAAGCTCCGCCCAGAAAGATAATTCCGCTGCTCCCTTTCCACTCTCAACACAAACCCCCTTCCTACTCATCTCCTACTCTAGGCCTGCCAACCTCTTCCAACCTAAAAGGGATTTGGGGAATGAATCTGATGGCTTCCAAAGTAACAGATCCATAGGAAAATATATCCCTCATGGAGTCACCGGAGAAAGTCAAAACCGGTCTACTCACCAGCCACCTTCAGATGCACGGTGGCCTCTTCGTAGTTTTCGTCCTGCCTGAAAAAGCATCGGTACTCCCCATCATCAGAGGCCTTGACGTCCTGTATCCTCACAGCGACGCGCCCCTCCGCGATGCGGTCCTCCACCAGCGTCACTCTCCCCCGGTACTCGGCCATCTGCTCTCCGGGCTGCTCTCGCCCTTCCCGGCGCACGAACACCGGGGGAGAGACCTTCTCTCGGAACCACCGCAACTCCATGCGCTCGGCGCTCACGTTGGGGGAGAGGTGACAGGGCAACTCGGCATCTTCACCCACCACCGCCAGGATGGGCTCCGGGGGTCCAATCACGTCAAAGGGAGCTGCCAAAAAACCAGGAGGGTCAGACAGAATGTGGAGGTGGGAGATGAGGACTGATACAGACCAGGATCCCACCGAAGGGCGGAGACTCTCCCACCATTTCTCTTATTCCTACGACAGCCCAAGGGAGTCCATCTCGACCCTTATGGAAGTCTCTAAGGAGAACCAAATGGGATTGTTTACAATTACTGAGAAATTTCAACCTTGTAGGCCACAGTGAGAGTGAGAGAGAGAGAGAGGAGAGAGAGAGAGACAGGGGAGACCTACCAGAATCCAGCTCGGGCACCTGGAGGAGAATGAAGACGAGCAGACACCCAGGGAGACAGGAGTTTGGGAAGACTGCCATCTCCAGCCTTTGTGGACAGCAAGATGCTGGTGGACTCGAGTTTGTCAGGAGCTTCAGCCTAGGAGACAGATGAACGGATAAGAGATAGCTATGGGTTGTTGAGACACTGTTCTCCCAGCGTCCTCCCAGCACTTCTTTCCAACTTGGAAAGAGTCATTTGCACCTGAAGCTTCCTCCTACCTCCCCCCACAGGGCAGACTTTCAGTCCAGGTGGCCCTCAGCACGCTCTCACCGACCACCCTAAGGCTGGTCAATCTTGTCTGTATACAACAACAAAATGGGCCCTGAATCCCCAAGAGAGACTTAGGAGAAGGGAATTGTGAGGCATAGTACCCATTAATGGGTTTCATATAAATAGAAGAACCTTGCAACCACTGCCCTAAAAAACCTCTTCTTTCAAATACAGTAATTTGATGTTTGCTTTTAGCAATGATAGTAAAGATACAGTGACGGAGGTAGAGATGGAGACCAGGGGTATAAGTTGGAGGAGAAAGGAAGAAAGATTGGGAGCAGATAGAACAAGAAAGGGGAGCTGGAGAGACCTAAAGAGCTTGAAGAGCAGAGGGCCTAGGACTAGGTAGGAAGGAGCCAGGGGGAGAGAAAATGCCTCCTGGCTGCTGGCTCTCTCAGGGGGTGAGAGTAATCCCAGATACTGACCTCTGATGTTGGAGGAAAAGGCACCAACAAGCTTCTGCTACCAAATGAGAAAGCTGGTTGTGGCCCCAGGGGCAAAAGTTAAAGGAGAAGGAAGGGGGAAGTGCTCTCAGGAAAGCCTGCCCCCAGGTCCCTGATGTATTTACTTTGGGGAAAAAAAAAAGTTTTCCAGAGAGGAAAAGATCTGTGGATTTGTGGTCTTCAGCTGAGAAATCAGGATGTGCATTGATGACTTAGGCTAAACAGAAGGGGACAGGGCAAAAAAGAAAGAGGATTCAAGAAAACACTAAAAGAAAATGTAAAGCCTTGGGCCGTTAATTCACCTCTCCAAGCCTCAGTTCTTTTATCTCTAAAATGGGAGTATTGTTAATAATACCTTCTTTGGAGTGGTGTTGCAAGGATTAAATGAGATTAAGCATGTTAAGTGCTTAGCATATAATAGGGACTTAGAAGAGAGAAAGTTGTTATTCTATTATTATTTATGTGAGTTGAAAATTAAAGATAGGCTAGGAATACATTTGTGTGTTTCAGTTTTCAGGGCCCCAAAGTTGTCTCTCTGCCAAAGCTACTAAAAGCAATTCATGAGGCCTGCAGTTTCTTGTTTTGGGTTAAACCCCTTATCGTTATGGAAAATTTTTAAATATGTATATTTTTGATAGTAGAAATCACTCATAATGTCAGCAAATAATGACAGCCTCTGGCAGAATTGTTGATATTTTTGTAAATATAATTTGAAACATTGTTAATAGCTACATAATATCATACTGAAGGTTCCTATAATTCCCAAGATTGTGGGACATCATGAGTTTTTTGCCTATTATAAATAGTGTGCTTTATACACAAGTCTTTGTCCACATCTTTGATAGTTTCCTGATAAACTTTCTGATGAATTCCCAAAAATATTGTCATCAGGTCAAACGGTATGAACATTTTGTCAAAGTTTCTTCCTGAAATGTCAAGCCTATCACACCATTAACTGAAATGTCCTTCTCACCTAATTCCTGCCAGCATTGAGGGCTATTATTCCTCACCATCACTAATGGAATGGATGATATTGACCAAATTATTACTTCACAATGCATTTATATAATGAGGCTGGTCATTTTTCATGTTTATATATTTTAATATATTCCGGAAGTGAATTTTTCAAGCTAATTGCCTTTTTTTTTCTAGATAGATTCTGGAGCTTTTTTTTTTTTTTTATCAAAATGTATGAACATTTTAGAAATTAAAGACATCAACCCTGTATTATATGTGTGGCAAAAACCCTTCACCACCCGTTTGTTCTTTGCCTTTTAATTGGGACTATGATTAAGACCAACAAAAAATAATTCCTCCAGTGGACCCACCTGAGTGCTAGGAGAGTGAATTTTCTCAAATACAAATCTGATCTTGTCACATTTTGCTTAAAAATCCCTACATGTCTCCTTAGTGACCCCAACACCCAGTTCAGGCACCTTAATCTGGTCAAGAAAATGCAGTAAGATCTAGTGGCCTCCCTCTTTCCTTCCTCTCAGCCTCTTCTCCCCAGAGCCTCCCAGTCTGTCCAACTCACATGAGAAACACTTTTGAAGTCTTTGGTCTTATCTATAATGTTTAAAGTAAATTAAACATTTTGCTGCATTACACATGAAATTTTAAAAATATATAACTCTGGCTAGACTTTGCCCCCTCCAAGTGAAATCAGCTCTCAAGGAAGATGGGCCAGGTTTATCCTGTGACACGGACAACTTCCTGGTTCCTGTTTGCTGGCACAAATCTGACCTGAATCCTACTGTGTGATGCAGATATGTTTATTTTTGTCTTTTGTTTCCAAGTCTTTCTTCCCTTCCTAAACTGAGCTCTTTGAGGTCTCTGACCTCTTATCAGCACATAGACCGAAGTAGAATTTGCAGCTTCAATCACACCCACCAGTCCTTGGCTTTCCTAGTTTGAAATGTGCCTGCCTCATTCTCAGCTCCCATCTGTGCTTAACTTTCAAAAATATCACCGATAATGAGTTTCCTCTCCTCAACCCATTCTGATTAGACTTCTATCCCTTGCTCTACATTGTCAAAATATCTTAGAGGAAAATTTAGGGCAGGAGGAAGAGCTTTTACTTGCACCCAAGAGAGCTAGACTGAAAGAAAGGAGCTGGGGAAATAGAGAGCAAATGGTATTCAAGGTATTATGTGGCAGCCAAGGTTCTGACTGGATAATATCTGAGTCATTTCGACAGAAACTAGCAGTTTTGGACAATCAGTGGCAGGATATCTGAATTGTCCAGGCTCAATCAGGGAACAGATTCTAGATGCCCCCAGTTTTCATGGCTCCCATTGTTTTTTAGGTGCCTTTGTGATGTGGGGTTACTATGAGCAAGTTCCTGTTATTCTGGGGCCCTAGAAACATAAACTGGTTCCTCTTAGACATGAAACCATTTGGGCCGAGGAGTGTGATGTGCTCCTCCGATGACAAGATGTCAGGGTTTCTCCCCCTACACTCCCCTTTTCACCACACAGGATTCAAATTTCCTAATATTATAAATTGGTCAGACCCAATGATTATTCTCTTCCTCGTCTTACTTGACATCCAGCAGCATTTGACCGAGGCAACCACTCACTCCTTTTTTTTAAGAAGTAGTTTTTATTCTGTCAAAGTAATTCATGCAAAGCATTTTTTTTTTTGCGGTACGCGGGCCTCTCACTGCTGTGGCCTCTCCCGTTGCGGAGCACAGGCTCCAGACGCGCAGGCTCAGCGGCCGTGGCTCACGGGCCCAGCCGCTCCGCGGCATGTGGGATCTTCCTGGACCGGGGCACAAACCCGCATCCCCTGCATCAGCAGGCGGACTCTCAACCACTGCGCCATCAGGAAAGCCCATGCAAAGCATTTTTTTAAAAAAATAGTATAAACAGCTTTTAAGAAAAGCACTAGTCCCACTTCCACCCTATCCTTCCTCATTCCCTAGAAACAGCCTCTTCAAATGCTTTGTTGTTTTGTCTGGTGTTTATCTAGATATGTCTCAGGAGTAACAGTTATGTTGCTATTTCTTGATGAATCCATTTTTATATATTACTTTTCGATGTTCTATCATGAGCAGTGATGATTTCGTTCTTGTGGTGGCTGAGTTTATGTGTCAACTTGACTGGGCTAAGGACTACCCAGGTAACTGGGAAAAGGTCATTTCTGGGTGTGTTTGTGAGGCTGTTTCCAGAAGAGAGAAGCATTTGAATCCGTAAGTGAAGAGACCATCCTCACCAGTGCAGGTGGGAATCATCCAATCCTCTGAGGGCCTGAATAGAATAAAAAGATGCAGGAAGGGCGAATTTGCTCTGTGCTTGAGCTGGGATTTCCAGCTCCTGCCCTCAGACATTAGCACTTCTTGTTCTCTGGCATTTGGACTCTGACCTGGACTTACATCATCGGCTCCCCTGGTTCACAGTTCTTCGAGTTTGGACTGGAACTACACCACCAGTTTTCCTGGGCCTCCAGGTTACAGAGGGCAGATTGTGGGATTTCTTTGCCTCTATAATCATGTGAGCCTATCCCTCATAATAAATCTCTTTCTATATATCTGTATACTGTATATCCTATTGGTCCTGTCTCTCTGGAGAACTCTGACTAATACCATTCTTTTATATCACCAATAGAAATATATCATTTTTGTTCAGTGTTTCCAATACCATGGTTTTGTGGCTATATTTTTATGGAGCTGAGGATCACATATGATTACATTTACTTTCCTGTACAACTTTTTGTGTTTGAGGGGGATGGGGGAGGGAGGGAGTTAAATGATTCACCTTATTTCCTTTGTTTAGTTTTCTGTGTTCCCATCACAGATTTTTCCCAGCCCTTAACAGTCTCTAAGTACAGTCTCCATAGTCAAACGTCTCAGGTAATTTATTAGCGCTATTACAATCCCTCCCTAGCCCCATTCCCATCCCTCCCAAAGCAGCACTTCTCTAACTTAAATGAGCATATGCTTCACTGGAGGGTCTTATTAAAAATACGTTTTGACGTAGGTCTGGACTGCTACCAGGATTCTCCCTGCTGGCTGCTGCCTGTCCACAGGAACTTTTTCCTCTTCCTTATTCAGAATCCGCAGCTGAAGAGGCAGCTGCTGGCTCTACACGAATTGCGGAGATGACCCTGGGGGATGGTTCTGGCTGAGTCTTGGGCTTATTTCTTTTGCACGTGGCTAAACTGAGCTAAGACAAAGGGCTGTGTGCAAATGGGCACATCACGCATAGCACCGTATCCTGTGGCTTGTAGTGAGCTTTGTGGTCAGCTCTTTCTCAGGGCACACACTATTGGCATACTGGTAATAACTAGATGTGACCTCATGATATGTTGACATTATAATACTGACA